GTTTGGTCTAGACCTGCTCTTTTATGAAAAGCGCAGTTGTTATGATTTGTGCTTTATAAATAAAATTGAATTGAACTGAATTATTATAAGTTTTTGGTCCGTGCTGTGCTGATCCAGTAACGAGCTCGGTGCCTTGGGATCTGCCGAGGAACAACGCTGATCCATCTCAGACTTCTCTTTAATTTTCTCTCTTCATGTCGCTTTTGGGTGTAATTGTGTGTTGATGTTTGTACTTGTGTCTGTGGGGGTTAGTGTATGTCCATGTTTGGTCCTTCCACTTCTCCTTTTCTGTCCCTGTCTCTGCTGCTAACTCATAGTATTGACGTCTTCACCCAAACGCAACCTTTTGCATAATGATTAACCTTTACCCTTATGTTCCTTACCTTGACACGAGTGTCAGGTAATATGGGGGAAAACAGTTTAATGTGACATGAGGTTTTGGTCCTAATAGACCCTCGGCCACAATCCTTCCTGCTTTCCTCAGAGTCCTGGAGTAGTACCCATCATGGAGGGATGGAAGTTTGCAGCCAATCGCCTTCTCTGCGGAGTGGGTGATGGTGTCCAGGAAGCAGAATGACTCCAAAGTGTCGACTGTGGAGTCGCACAGGGTGATGGGGGGGGTGGGGCTGGACATCTTCCTTGAAATCCACTGCCATCTCCACTGTCTTCAGAGTGTTTAGCTCCAGATGGTTCTGGTTGCAACAGGACACCAGATGGTCAATCTCGCACCTGTGTTGAGCCCAATGGGGGTGGTGACACCCACAAACTTCAGAAACATGACGGACTGGTGACAGGAGGTGCAGCTTCCAGCGGTTTGTGTACAGGTAGAAGAGCAGAGGAGAAAGAACACAGCCTTGAGTTGAACCATTACAGACACTCAGAGCCATGTTTTCCCATCTTCACGAGCTGCTTCAGGAAGTCTGTGATCCACCTGCCAATGGACTCAGGCACGCTCACCTGGTAGAGCTTGTCCTGCGGCAGAGCCGGGATGATGGTGTTGAAAGCAGAACTGAAATCCACAACCAGGATCCTGGCAGAGGTTCATGAAGGGTCCAGCTGTAGTGAGGGGCCATGTTTATTGCATCATCAATTTTTTTTAAACAGAGGAGGAACAAATCGGGTTATAAAAATACCCGTGTCCGTGTGGACCAGGCCTAAGTCTGAAAGCTTTCCCACGCTGCATGTTCTCTTATTGTCCATTGTTTCATTTGTTATTGAAGAGTTATTGTTGCTGTTGTTCTGAGCATTTTTAACAAAAGCTTTCAAAAAGTGATGGAGACATTCTGATTCTGACATGTCCCCAGTGAAAATGACACCTATCTTTCAATATCTTTAAATGTCCCGCCCCATCCAGGCTGTGATTACTCGGTTCACAAGTGACACTGACGAGCTACATTCAGCATGCCGCTGCTTGAAAGGCACCCCAGCTTCTCTTCTCCCTCGTCTCTCCCCGCCGACAGAGTTTAGCAGGCAGGTGAGAACTGGAACAGGTGAGCGTCACGTAGCACCCAGAGAACCTGATATGGAGAGGGCACAGGAGAGAGGACCGGCAGCTTGGGAAAATGTCCTGGTACGCCAAAGAGAAAAATGTTGAGGTGCCGATACTGCGTACCTGCGCTTACTGGCCCACATCAAGCCAGTGATCGCTGGTTCTAAAGTCTTTCCCACATGTTGCATTGTCCAAAAAAGTAACTAAAAACCCTAGGTACTGCTGCTTACTGCATTATATTCTGTTATATTTTTTATATGAAATGTCACCTGCCAGCTGAATTTTTTGTTTCCCTTTACATTAAAAAGTCATATCTACTATAAATTGGATCAGAAAATGTCTCCAGAATACAGGAAATTAAGTGTTTAATGTTCCTAAACGCAACGTGTCGTTGGAGCACAGGGCTGGTTGCTGATAATGAGCCTCTGCCATTACAAAACAGCCTTTTGCAGCTACAATAGTCACTTACAACATTAATAATGTCTACACTGCATTTCTGATCAATTTGATGTATTTGTAATTGAAAAAAACTGTTTTTCTTTTGAAAACAAGGAAGTTTCTCAGACCCTAAACCTTTGAACAGTCGTGTGTGTGTGTGTGTGTGTGTGTGTATATATATCCTATATGTATATATATATATATATATACATATAGGATCTCACAAAAGTGAGCACACCCCTCACATATTTGTAAATATTTTATTATATTTCATGTGACAACACTAAAGAAATGACACTTTGCTACAGTGTAAAGTAATGAGTGTACAACTTGTATAACAATGTAAATTTGCTGTCCCCTCAAAATAACACATCACACAGCCATTAATGTCTAAACCGCTGGGGGGGAAGTGAGTACAACCCTAACTGATGGATGGAATTTTCAATTGACCACTAACTCTGAACGCTTTCCCACATGTTCCACAAGAATACGGCTTCTCACCTGTGTGGGTTCTCATATGTTTTTTAAAAGCTGAAGTGTCACTGAATCTTGTCCTGCAGGTCTCACAAAGTTACAGCTTCTCACCAGTGTGGGTTTTCATATGGACTTTCAAGATATTCCACCAGCTAAAAGATTCCCCACATGTTTTGCAAGAATATGGCTTCTCACCCGTATGGGTTCTCATATGGTTTTTAAATGTTGAAGCGACACGGAATCTTTTACCACAGATATTGCAAAGGTACGGCTTTTCACCTGTGTGGGTTCTCCTATGTGTTCTTAATGTTGAAGTGTCACTGAATCTTATCCCACAGATATTGCAAAGGTACGGCTTTTCACCTGTGTGGGTTCTCCTATGTTTTTTTAATGTTGAACTGTCCTTGAATCTTTTATCACAGATATTGCAAAGGTACGGCTTCTCACCTGTGTGGATTCTCATGTGGACTTTTAAGGCACCACTCTGGCAAAATGATTTCCCACATGTGTTGCAAGAATACGGCTTCTCACCTGTGTGAATTCTCAGGTGTGTCTGAAAATCTGACTTGTACTGGAAACCTTTTCCACATGTGTCACATGTGAAAGAGTTTTTACCTGTGTGAGGATCATGGTGAACCTCTGACATGGTAGACTTGTGTACATTGTTTCTGGGGCTTCTGCTGTTGTGATCTTGATTCTTTTGTTTTGGCTCTGCATCTCTAGTTGATCCTGAGTCTTCATGCTCGCCTCCTTTCTGATCTTGGCTCTCAGCTACATGACAGCTGTGAGAGAGGAGCTGGTGGTCACTTTTCAGTTCTGCTTCACTGTGGTCACTTTCCTCATGAGCAGGACTCAACATAAAGGTGTCAGTCTCCTGCTTCACTACAAGCTGCTCTCCCTCCTGACTGGTCCAGAATTCCTCCTGTTCTTCTTTAACCTGTGGAGGCTGTGGGTCCTCCTGGTCCAGACCGGGGATCCTCTCCTGAATCCAGAGCTGCTGGTCAGCCAGAACCTCTTCCTCCTTACAGACATGTTGCTGTGGGTCCTCCTGGTCCAGACCGGGGATCCTCTCCTGAATCCAGAGCTGCTGGTCAGCCAGAACCTCCTCCTCCTTACAGACATGTTGCTGTGGGAGCTCTGGAGGGACAGAGAACAAAAGGAACAGGCTAACGTTTCTACTGTGAGCTCAGTAAAGTTGGAAATATGTTCACAAATTCAAACTTCTGGGGTCAATAATTCAGAAGAAAACACAAACGTAGCCTCTTTGCTATCATAGTTAAGTAGACAAGGTAATTTTCACAAAAATGATTCGTCCTACAAGCTGCACAAATAACACTGGTCTCTATGTGCAGCGGCTGTGAGACGAGTGTACATGTACAGTCTACAAAGTGCAATGACGAAAATAAATTTTGCAGACATATTCAGTAACTTCACTCTTGTACAATGTAGTCACATTTTGTGTCACATCACACATTCATGATCTCCAGCTGCTTATACAACAACATTTCCACTAAAGAAAATTATAAAGGCAACACTTGAGTTAATCATGAGCTGAACTCAAAGATCTGAGACTTTCTCTATGTACACAAAAGACCTATTTCTCTCAAATATTGTTCACAAATCTGTCAAAATCTGTGTTAGTGAGCACTTCTCCTTTGCCGAGATAATCCATCCACCTCACAGGTGTGGCATATCAAGATGCTGATCAGACAGCATGGGTATTGCACAGGTGTGCCTTAAGCTGGCCACGATAAAAGGCCTTAGGCTGGCCACAATAAAAGGCCACTCCAAAATGTGCAGTTGCATCACACAGCACTCTCTATTGGTAATTAACAACAAGCCTCATCCGGGCAGAAATCGGAATTGTGGGTGAAATGTAAGAAACGTGAGTTGTCTTTTATAAAACTGCTGACAAATAAAGTCACACCAGACAGATACAGGAAAAGAGAGAGCGAGAGAGAGGGAGACAGGTGTAGGTGTGTGCCTGTGTGTCTGATGGGAAAAGCAAGGTGAGCAGATTACTGTATGTGATTAAACACAAAAATAAGTTGGAGAATTAAGCAGAACTTACGTGATATTTAAACAATTTTTGCTTTGTGTTGTTGGTCAAAAGAATAGTAGTAAGTCTTCCCTCTGTGTACACGTATCCTATACAAGTACAATTTTGGCTGTATTATTTGTGTTCCCTTCAAAAATTGCTCAAGTATATCTCAATATGAACATTTGGATGGTTTATTGACGTTTTGCAGTGTTTTGATCAGCAAAACAGTCACCTCCATGATCAGGGGCCTGTACTACAAAGCAGGATTAGAGCTTATTCAGGTAACTTCGGGGTTAATGCTGGGTTTTCAGTACAATGACGGTAGTTCACTTCTTACCAGTAACTTATGCTGAATGGCTAACCTGCTCCGGAGCAGGCTATGTTCCAGATAAGAGATCAACTCTATGAAAATGCCGCCTACTGATCACCATTTGTAGAAAATCCCACAGTGCTTTATGTTTGCTGCGGTGATACGGAGAAACTCTTGTAGGCTAAAGCGATATCATCCTACAGAAACTGATTATCCCTGTGAATCATCATGCAGCTAACGGTGTAGCCTACAAACTACATTCAGAAGCATATATCTAAAAGGACGATACGGAGATAAACAGAGTAATTCGGAACGTATGTCCTGGTTAGCAGTCAATGGGCCTTCCTCATTTCCCAAACTCAGCGTGCCATCTTGAAAGACATCTCAATTCTTAAAATGCACATCGAGGAGGCTTGCTGGAGGATACATCGGCGTATCCTTTGCGAAAGTCTTTTCAGCCGCTGTGATCTTTACAAGAGGCGTGACAAGCAGCTGGACCAATCCATAGCCGGAGCAGGACTCTGCAGTGTTCCTATTTATGGATGTCTATCTGGGCTTCTAATTGTTGCACACGTCTGGTCTATGACCGACAGTCACTCCTGAACATTCGCACCTCTTTTATGGACTTTTATAAGCAGGATGTAGCGCACGTTTTTAATCAAACACACAGAAGCACCACTACGCATACATTGGAATGTATTCGCCAGTGGCCTCCTGTCACTTCACGGAGAAAACACAGAAGGAAACGCGGGAGTCGGGGTGGACGCATCATTAGATTGAAAGCTATTGAAAGACTCAGGATCGATCTAAATCCAAATCATATGTCGTGTTATGGCGGATATGTTGCCTGGCGACCGCGAGCGCTGGCTCATCGGTGGCTTCAATCTATCATTCCCCTGCAATCTTCTCCTGTCCATTTGGTTGGCTTACCTCGGGTTGGCCTATGTCATCGGCAAAACGGCGTGAATCCTGGAAATCTACGTTCTTTGAAGAAAGCCGGAGTTTTCCCCGATGTGATTCATCCGCCTAAAATGGCTCTGATCAACACTCGATCCTTGGTGAACAAAACCTTCCTGCTCAACGACTTCTCCTCTCATAGTTTGGATTTTATGTTCATCACTGAATCCTGGACTAAGGTTGGTGATCTAACCCCTTTTTCGGAGCTAGTTCCAACTGACTGTACCTTTTTTAACTCCCCCCGTCCGAACAGACGAGGGGGGGGGGTCGTGACTATTTTTAAAAACTCATTCTCTGTGCAATGCCGGCCGGTTCCTGTCAGTGCATTTTCTAGTTTTGAAGCTCAGCTACTTCATTTAGACTGAAATGGCCCTATTTTATTAGGGGTGATTTACCGTCCTCCACACTCACTCCAGGACTTCATTCAGCAATTTACAGAATTCATTGGTAATATCACCACAACCTATGACCGTTTTCTATTGGTGGGTGATTTTAATATCCACGTTTGTTGTCAATCTAACACCCTGTCAAAGGATTTCCTCAGCCTGATTGAATCTTTTAATCTAGTCCAGTGGATAAATGATTCCACTCACATTCAGGGTCACATTTTGGACCTTGTTCTTTCATATGGGATGGTAATCAGTGATGTTGTTATATCTGATTTTATCCTTTCTGACCATAAGCCAATATTATTTTCTACATCTCTTCCTTGCATTTCTCATCCCACTAGTGCAGATGTAAGACTGTTTAGGTCCTACTCTCCTCATTTTGGCTCAAATTTTAACGAGCACTTTATGAATTCCTCCTCACATTTGCTTCTGGACTCACCACTATTGGACTTCGATGCCGACCAGCATCTCGGTCTGTTATACTCTACTTGGCTAAATGCCCTAAACGAATCTGCTCCGCTTAAGCCCTTCAAACCTAAACCAAAATCTGAACCATGGCTCAACGTGGATATTCGGCGACTAAGACAAGCTAGCAGAAAGGCTGAGCGCAAATGGAAGAAGGACAAGCTACACATTTCACTTCAGTTATTTAAAGTCAGTCTGTCGACCTACCAGAATGCTGTAAAGTCGGCAAAAGCTACGTACTTCTCTGACATGATTATGGCAAACCACTTTAGACCAAAGGTTTTATTTTCTGTTATAAACTTGGTTTTAAATCCTCCGTAAATACAATGTATGGTGCTTCGGATGAGCTATGTGAAAGTTTCTTGAGATTTTTTTATTGACAAAATATCTAATTTGAGATGCAATGCCAGCCGCTACCACATGGAACACTCTAGTAAGTTGATGAATTCTTTTACCTGGGATGCCTTTGAGCCAATCACCCTGAACCTACTCAAAGAAATTATTGCCAAGATGAAATCTTCGTACTGCTCTCTTGACATCATCTCTCCTAAGTTTCTTAAATTAATTGTTGATTCAGTAGGGCCAGGATTGGTGTCCTTTGTTAATAAGTGCCTCCTTACCGGCTCCATCCCTGCTGCCCTTAAGGAGGCCACTGTCAGTCCGCTACTCAAGAAGCCTTCACTGGATCCTGCCGTGTTAAATAACTTCCGTCCTATCTCTGTATTGCCTTTTGTTTCGAAGGTGTTAGAAAAAGTTGTTTTTGACCAACTCCAGCTCTTTCTAAAATGCAATGATATTTCTGAAAAATTTCAATTTGGTTTTGAATCTGCCCTGTTGAGAGTTTTAAATGACATCTATCGTTCCACGGACACTGGTGACTCTGTGGCTCTTGTTCTTCTGGATCTATCAGCAGCTTTTGATACGATCGACCACTCTATCCTGATATCCAGACTAGAGTATGATGTGGGGCTAAAAGTTATCGTCCTCCAGTGGTTCCAGTCTTATCTCTCGGGTCGTACTTTCAGAGTAAAGTTAGGAAATTGCTCCTCTTCTGTTGCGCATCTAACCTGTGGCCTTCCTCAAGGATCTATTTTAGCGCCTTCTCTTTTCTCCCTATACATGTTACCACTGGGCACCATTCTAAGAAGACATGGGGTATCTTTTCACTGTTATGCAGACGACACTCAAATGTACGTTCCACTCAAGTGAAATGATCCCTCTGCCCTTTCATCATTATTAGGTTGTCTAGATGAAGTAAAATTTTGGCTGGACCAAAATTTTTTCTTTTTAAATGAAAACAAAACAGAGATCATTGTTTTCGGGTCCACTGTTAATCCCCAGGCTGCCACCTTCGACCTAGGCAGACTATCGGCTTTTAGATCTTCAAGTGTACGGAACCTGGGCGTTCTACTGGATGAGTCTTTAAATTTTGATAAACAAATCTCCTCCGTAATAAGCTCTAGTTTTTATCAACTGCGTCTGTTGTCAAAAATCCAACCTTTTCTTAATCCTGAAACTCTTAAGGTGGCTGTTCATGCTTTTATCACCACACGTGTAGATTACTGCAATTCACTTTACTGCGGTATCTCGAAAACTCAAACTGCTCGTCTGCAATTGGTGCAAAATGCCGCCGCAAGATTCCTCTCAAATAGTCGGAAAAGTGACCATATCACCCCAATTCAACCCCTGTTATTTGTGTACAAATCTCTATGCAACCAAGCACCGTGCTACCTATCCGAACTGCTTCAACCATATACTCCATCGAGAAGTCTGAGATCAGGTGAAAAGAATCTGTTATTAGTCCGTCACTGCAGACTTAAAAGCAGAGGGGATCGAGCATTTTCTGTGGTTGGGCCTCGCCTGTGGAACAATTTGCCCACAGAAGTTAGGATAGCCCCTTCTGTGACCTCTTAAGTCACTTTTAAAAACGCACTTGTTTTCTTTGGCCTATAAATAAGGTTGTTTATATATATATATTGTTTTTTTTCTTTTTGTTAATTTTTCTCTCCTTGGAGTATGATGCTGTTTTTTCTATCTAAGTCTGATACTGGCATTTCTGTTTTTTATTGTTATTGTTGACAAGTCTGATACTGCTTTGGCTACTCCTGTTTAAAGCTGTTCTTAACTTTTCTGTACTTTTCTATGCTGTGCTGTTATGCATGGTATTATTGTCTTTTAATTCTGTAGTTCTGTAAAGCACTTTGGTCAGTCAGTGGCTGCTATAAAACGTGCTATATAAATAAAATGAACTTGAACTTCCGGTTATATTTATACGTGGATTAGTTAAGGCTATTAAAAAGAATCAAATGCGTGATCGAACTTTCTGCCCTTCACCGTTTGTGTAGCGCCTCATTAAGCGCTGTTCTAACTGCATTCCTCATTTCACTTTGATCACTGATGTTGTCACTATTGAATGTGATGCAGGATTGTATAAATTAACATTACATAGCGGCTGGATGAAGCGCCTCCCCAGTGACACTGTGCGCATTTACGCACAAGCCACAGCAACATAAATTAATAACAATAAATCTCCCGACAGGATCGGTCAGGATCTGGTGTTGATTCATGTTCTGTGTTCTTCTTCACATTCAAAAGGTCTAACGCCCAGTCCAGGTTCATACAGTGAAACTGTTTGGAGTACAGCAGCAGTCCTCCTGATATCAACCCTGAGCTCCATCAGAGTCTAAACGTGGATTATAGAAGCTGAAAGTTTAATTCTGTTTCCTCTCTCTGTCCTGTCAAGTTTATTACTGCAGGGTTTTTCTGTTTTGTCCCAGGATATTTGCTGTGACCTTACTGCACGGAAGGAAACGTTTAAATGACTGACAGCAGCCTCTCTAATCAGCAAAGGAAATCGTTAAAGAAAACACTCATCAATGTAACACACAAGAAAGAAATCACCTGGAAAGCTACAGGGACCGGTGGAGGTGTGGGTAAAACATCCATGCAGATGCTAGTCTCTAAATCTGAAAAAATAATTAGCTGGTGGGGGGCAGGTGCATGATTTATGCGTATAGGCGTATATATAAGTTCCGTTAATGTCCGAGCCGATCCGTGCATCACACCAATTCAGCTGCTATAATCGTGACAAAACAGCTGCTGAAGTCAAATTATTAGGCTGTAATTTCAACCAGAGCGTTCAGACCTGATCTGTTTCATGTTTTAATAACAGTGCACATGTAGTCTGCATGTTATTCCAACAGTAGAGTCCTGTGATGACAGCTGTAATTGGGGCTCTATGAGATAAATGTTACTGTCACTTTGTAAAGGGACCGAAGATGAAACGCTCACATCATCAGGCTGAGGGCTGAAATTATCTCCTGTTTACAGACAAAAGGCGCACCGCAAAAAAAAAGTGGTTGGCCTAGTCTGCTGTGTGGCCTGGTGAATGATCAGGCTGCTGTAATCTGACTGTTTTCAACAGATGCTATAATGTTTATTAGAACCTCCAGATGTTTCTACGTGTTATAATGTTAACAGACATGTTTCTGGATTGTGAAGAAATGATCTGTAGCCTTTAGTGCCAAAAAAGGCAGGACATCTCCCTATCTGAGGGGTGCCCCCCCCCCCCCCAAAAAAAACCCATCAAATAATATAAACATATATACTTTACAAATACAATATAAATGTAAACAGGGCAATTATAGTGCTTTTTAAGTTTAGTAACATTTTGAGTCACCCCTCTCTTGCCTCACAGTGGTTTGGGCCACTGCCTGCTTTCCCCCTTACAGGAGTCTGGTGGCAGAAAACCAGTTCAAATCCTTCAGTAGTTCCTCCAGTAATGTTAAGTAGGCTGCAGGGCTGTTTTATGCAATTTAAACATTGGATGAACTGATTCTTTTGTCTTTAATACAGATGATGCTGAGTCATTCATAAATTAATCATGACAAAAAGTTGTCATGTGAAGTTGTCAAGTTGTCAAATGATTATTTTTCTATGAGCCCACTCTGTTATAAAAACATTACCTAGCTTATTTGGTAGCTTGTTTAACAGCTTGTTGGACTGGAACTCATCTTCTACAGCTACAGATGCGCAGATTGATCCGCTGGGGACTGAATATAAAATTTTCTGCCGGTGACATTGAATGTTAAAAACACGCTCCACGGCGCCGTGTTTCACGTGTGTGCACACAGGCTAAAACATGTCTTGTGTGTTTGGAAGTTATTCACGAGAGCGAAGAAGACGCAACGCTCACTACATCTGCAGAGAAACACAGAAAGAGACACGGTGGATGTTATAAAGCATGGAGCAGGTAAAGACACAGGAACACAGCTGTTGGTGATTTTCCTTCCAGTGAAAATGTTATTTTATAATCAAGGTTTCATTATGACCATACAATTGAGACCTGTGAGAATAGCTCACATTCATACTGGTGCTGATGGGGATCCTAATAAAAACAGATTTTTCCAATAAATAAAACAATGTTTGTGTATGCTGTCATTAATAGATCTTAGAAAGAACTAAAATCGGAAAAATTAGCATCGGCAGGTCAGACCTTTTAAAAAAAATCATTAACTGGAAACAGCCAGTGAAATATGTAATCTGTGCATCTCTTACTACAGCGATAATCCTGTGTGTGAACCGATATTAGGCTGATACCGTAGATCTACTGTTGTGTTGGGTTTTGCGCATTTTGATGTGAAGTGGCAGATCAGTTGGCTTGCTTCCGTTAAATCTGATTTATACCGTAAAACGTTGAATAATAGCCCGGGCTTTTATTTGCTAAAAATCACTTAATTGACACTGCCTTCAATTTGGACAGGCGTCCATATGGAACAGGACTTTAATTCTTTTTGTAAAAAACTGAAACTACTATGAAACAGTTTATTTATTTCAAACAGAATAATACTTATGCGCTTTTATTTTGAAGGCCGCAACCTCACGACAACAACATGGTGAGAGAAATCAGCTGACAGAGAGCGATGGATTCACATGACAGGATTCACAACTTGGATAAATTTTTATGAAAACCTGTTTTGATGGTTGGACCCATACAGACTAAAGTAAGATAAATAATCAAGGAACGGACACATTCTGGCTTAACGAGCCGTCAAAGTTAACGTGAGTCAGCAGGATGTGCAGAACGATGTGCAGCATGTCCATATTGACATATTGATCATTCCTTTAAACATTAATAGCCTATTTATATTAACGATCTACGCAGCTTAAAAGCAGCTAAAGCGGCGACCCCGCAGGGTTTAAGAGGTTTTATACATCCAAAGAACTTCTATAAAAACCAGTTTAATTAAAGCAGGCGTTTATTTTTTAAAATGTGTCCCCACACCAGGCCAGTAAAGGAGGCAGGCGGCTGTTTGGGACTCGGCTATTAATTGAAGTTTCACGGTATATATAGATAGATAATATACATCCTCTATCCCAGAAGAACCCTAAATTAGAATGTATCCTAGAGGACGCAAGTTATTTAGAATAATATGGCCACGTGGTTAACCTATGAACTTAAGTCATATTTAAACAACTATTGCTTTGTGTTGTTGGCCAGAAAAATAGTAGACTTCTCTCTGTGTACACGTATCCTATAGGCCTACAAGTACAATTCTGGTGGCATTATTCGGGTCCCCCTCAAAAATTGCTCTTGTGAAATTATTAATTTTTTTATTACCCCCCCCCCCCCCCTACTGTGAGATGAGATTTACGCCCATGAATCAAGCCACCACTCAAACTGTCACACCGGCCCTGTGTTTAATATACTACTCCTCTGTTTTGTGTAACTTATATAATGAATGTTTCCTCACCTATCCTGTGTAACTTATATAATGAATGTTTCCTCACCTATCCTGTGTAACTAATATAATGAATGTTTCCTCACCTATCCTGTGTAACTTTATTTCGGGTTTCCAAACGATATCCAGCAGTCTGCGCTGACGATCGATCTCTTTCTCGTACTCGACGATAGTGTTTTTAAAAACTCTGAATATTTCTTCAGCAGCAGCAGTTAGTCGCTCGTTGACAAACTCTCTCAAACTCTCAACTGAACTCATTGTTGCTGAACTACAAATTAAATAATTAGCGGCGCTACAGTAACTTCCAGCGAATTCAAAAGTTGCGACCAACGCCGATGTCACACTATTAAGTTCCGACAGCAGAAGTGCGGGAGCTTTTCGTTCCGCTTTCAAATGATAACCTGAAATTCAAAACTTGTGTTTATTATCAGCAGTGATGGACGAAGTACACAAATCCCGCACTTGAGTACCCTGCAAAATATTATCACACTAAAAATAGAAGCTTCAATTAAAATTTTTACTTGAGTCGAAGTTCAGAAAGTACCTGCTTTTAAAAAGGCCATGTAAGTAGGCTATTAAAAGTAAAAGTAGTTATTCTTTTCAGTGGTTGCTGACATGACAAACAAAATTTAAATTTTTTAATTTCCTACTTGTAAAAATTGTTGGGGAGTTTAATTTAAAAAAAAATCGTATTTTTTAAACTCTCCATATCTTTGTGTTTAAGTAACTAGTAACTGAAGCTGTCAGATAAATGTAGTGAAGTAAAATCTACAATCTTTCTCTCTGAGATGTGGTGGAGTAGAAGTAGAACGTGGCATAGAAGAAAATACTAAAGTAAAGTACAAAAGCCATACGTGTCATTTACAGTGGGGATGCTGGGGACATGTCCACACCAATTTTTTTAAATGTCTGCTTTTGTCCCCACCACTTTTTAATTAAGCAATTGTTAAAAATGTCCTAAAAAAATTCTTGCACTAAAAATGATTATTTGCACAATAAAAAATTGACTGCAATTTAAATATATTTTGAAACAAAAATATGTATTGTCCAAAAAAAGTAACTAAAAAACCCAGGTGTTGCTGTTTACAACATTATATTCAGTTATATTTTGTTATTATGAGTTTTCCAGCTAAATTTTGTTTCCCTTTATATAAAAAAAATATGCACCATAAATTGGAGCAGAAAATGTCTCCAGAACGCAGGAAATTAAGTGTTAAATGCTCCTAATGGACAAAAACTGTTTTTCTTTTGAAAACAAGGAAGTTTCTGAGACCCCAAACTTTTGAACGGTAGTGTACTTATATAAATACATAGACTCACCTGCTGCAGAACTGTGAGGTTATACATCTTTTTTACTGAACTGAAACTGTATGTTTTGTAAGAATATGGCTTCTCATCTGGTGTCTCTGAAAATCTGACATGCATTTAAAACTTTTTCCATTTGTCACATTTGAAGGACTTTAACACATTACAGTGAATCTTAAACATGGTAAAGTTTTGTAAATTTTTAGAGTGACTATTTATTTTGACATGATTTCTGTGGTTTTGGATCTGGGTCTCAATGCTATTCCTTAGATTGTCATTTATCAGAAAAAATATGAGTTAATTGCATTGTATTAATTTATATAGATCCATTTCATAACAAGTTATCTCATTGCACTTTTCAAATAAATCAGGTCTAGACTGTACTCTTTGTAGTATAATCAGATTAATTGCCAAATTTCTGTTACACATACATGCTCAAACACAATATAAACCTATATAAATATAAAGATATCTAAAAATGACATGAAAGCCAGAGTCAGGGGGGGGGCGTGTTGATGAGGCTAGCTGCACACTGGAACAATCTGATTTTGTGGCCAGAGGTTTTGGTCCTGATGGACCGCAGCCTCTTGCCAGAGGAGAGTGTCTGAAACAATCTGTATCCGGGAAGGAGGGGGTCGGCCGCGATCTTTCCTGCTGGCCTCAGAGTCCTGGAGGCGTACAGGTCCTGAAGTGATGGAAGACTGCAGTCAATCACCTTCTCAGCAGAGCTAATGATACGCCGCTGCTGGCTCTTGTCCCTGGCAGTGGCAGCAGCGTACTAGATGTGATGGAGGTGGTGAGGATGGACTCAATGATGGCGTGGTCGAAATGCACCATCGTTAGTTTACTGTGGGTGAAACAGTCATACTATGATCAGGGTGAGATGGCAGGAAAACTCCCGGCTTGGAGGCTTAAAAAAACAAACAAAAAAAACCACAGGACTAGTAGGGATATTAATTCTACTTGTACTTGACAATACAGAGAATTTAGTGTATCCAAAATGTATAAATGATGCTTTTGCAGAATATTATGAAAATTTATATAAATCCCAATATCCAGATAATATGGATAAACAGGATCAGTTTCTGGACCAACTTCAATTCCCAACTGTGTCAGAGGAAACTAAAAATTATCTAGATGGAAAACTGAGCATTCAAGAACTTAAGGAGGCACTCACCCATATGAATACAGGCAAAGCCCCTGGCCCTGATGGCCTGCCTATTGAGCTTTATAAGAGATTCAGATAAATTACCTCATCTACTTGAAATGTATAATGAGTCCTAGAAGGGCATTCTACCCCCATCCTTAAGATTGGCAGCATTTCACTTCTGTTAAAACCAGGTAAAGCTCCGACAGATATGGGCTGATAAAGGCCTATATCCTTGATGTCATGTGACACCAAAATACTATGCAAGGTTCTAGCTCGGAGGATTGAATCACATATTCCTAACTTAATTTTGAACGACCAAAATGGATTTGTTCTCGGCCGCCAAGCTTTTCACAATACCCGCCGATTATTGAATACATTATATGAAAAACAATTTGCCATGTATCAAGCCTTTTTGTCATTAGATGCCAAAAAGGCGTTTGACAGAATGGTGTTATCTTTTGGGGACACTCAAAAGATTTGGCTTGGGAGAAAAATATTTGAAATGGATTCAATTACCATATACAGAGCCCATAGCCAAAGTTGTAACAAACAGCCAGTTATTGAGATCTTTTAGCCTATATAGATCGACCAGACAAGGATATCCATTATCGCCCCTTCTTGTTTGCTGTCAAGCCACCTGCTATGGCAATATGTAATTCTCCTGATATTACAGGTATTCAAATCAGAAGAACAGAACATCACTTGTCTCTTCTTGCAGATGACGTTGCTTTGTTTTTAACTGATCTAGGGAGGTCTGTCCAGGCTGTTGACCAAATTCTGAAGATGTTTGGTAAATTCTCAGGGTATAAAATTAACCAAAAGAAAACCTCCCTGTTAATGCTGAACAAAAATAACCCTACAATACAAAGCCACAACACGAATACAAAAATCCACAACACGAATACAAAAAGCCACAGCACGAATACAAAAAGCCACAACACGAATACAAAAAGCCACAACACGAATACAAAAAGCCACAACACGAATACAAAAAGCCACAGCACGAATACAAAAAGCCACAACACGAATACAAAAAGCCACAACACGAATACAAAAAGCCACAACACGAATACAAAAAGCCCCAACACGAATACAAAAAGCCCCAACACGAATACAAAAAGCCACAACACGAATACAAAAAGCCCCAACACGAATACAAAAAGCCACAACACGAATACAAAAAGCCACAACACGAATACAAAAAGCCACAGCACGAATACAAAAAGCCACAACACGAATACAAAAGCCACAACACGAATACAAAAAGCCACAACACGAATACAAAAAGCCACAACACGAATACAAAAAGCCACAACACGAATACAAAAAGCCACAGCACGAATACAAAAAGCCACAACACGAATACAAAAGCCACAACACGAATACAAAAAGCCACAACACGAATACAAAAGCCACAACACGAATACAAAAAGCCCCAACACGAATACAAAAGCCACAACACGAATACAAAAGCCACAACACGAATACAAAAAGCCACAACACGAATACAAAAAGCCTCAACACAAAAGAACAGTCCTTATTATGTGACTTTCTTCCGCATAATAGGGTCTGCGAAGAACTTTTTGCCCGTTTGATGAATAAGTAATACATTGTTCTGGTCAAATAAAATACAGCAGGATATTTGTGTGAATTAAACAGCTGTCTACGCAGATTTGCTTCAGAAATAGACTTAAAATGTGCAAAACAAATGCAAGTCTATGGTTACCACTGACATGACTTTATACATTTCATTCATATCATACTTTAATGCCATCTCCTTACTACAGTTGTACTGGTGCATACACAGACCCATACAGTATATTTGCAACATAGGTCTAATCATGGAACGCACACAGGGGCTTCCTTTCTTCTTAACTTTTATCTATCCAATCTCCTACACACCTGGGACTCATCCAAGCAATCAAGCCCCACTGCATTTAAACCCCGGTCCTGCTCTCCAGTCTTCGCTAGGTCTGTCCCCTTTTGTGCTTCTCTTTCTATGGCGAATATTTTATTTTTGTACATCTTTGCTTTGTTTTTTTAATGTGGACAGCTGGCAAACCCAGAGGTGATGAACAGTTGAGATGAATTGAAATATTGTCATACAGTGGACCATCAGTGACACAACAATGTTATAAACACAAAAACACGACTAGTTAAAATGTGGAATATGTTCTTTAGCCTCTTGAGTCACCAGGATAGGTGAGCTAAATTGTTTTCTAAGCAGCAAAACAAAGGTTTTCAAGGTTTTCACGTGTGTGCACATTAGGAATTTCTCAGTTATTATGTCAGCTCTCTATTTTATTGAAACAATGGGAATCAGTGGCTCATACAATGTTATCACAGGAAATATCATAGGACACAGAGGCAGTATCTCAATGAGACGTATTGGTGTTTCACTTCCCATCCACTTGAATGCACTCACCAGTATAATTCTAGTAAAGCATTCTGGTGAGGTGAGTCATACACACCAACAACAATAGCACATTTCTCAGCTCCTTTGGTGCATTCAAATATGAATCCTACTGGGGTTCCCGTTCGGTTATTCTTAGTGCTGACGTATGTCATTTTGTCTTCAAAAGCAACACTAATTGGCACAAAGCAGCGCTTCTTTGAGGCGCTTGAGAAGTGTGGTTTGATGTGTGAACTGGCTTTAAATAAAAACAGTGGCACTGAGCTGGTGATTAACACAATATGGCCATTCAGAAGCCAGCATCAGCTGATTTTATTTAGTGTTTATTTGACCCTGCTGCAGGTTAAAAACTAATTAACTAATTAGGAAACTCACTTGCACAGTGCATTTTTGACACTAGACATCAATGACATAAAATAAGCTGTTACAGAATATTGTGTAATTAGAAATAAATTCCCTTTCTGACTTTACAACAGATTCTTGTACAAACATTCAGCCAAAGAAAGCTTATGAAAGGATATTCTAACAGCAGTCAACCGCACCTTGGCTGTTCTAAAGTAAAAACCATACAAAAACAAAAGGCAAAAAACTCAATCACACATAAACACACATGCACACTCCAATCCCCAAATCCCTGTACAGTGTTGGTTTCCCCTCCACTCCTGCCTTCAGTTCTTCAACAGATCACCCCTGACTTGTAGAATGATTTATGATTTTTACAGTTTGTATGGAAAAGGGTATCACTATTGGCAATGTGTGATGACTGAGGAAGACTAATCATGCGTCCTGGGAAAATGATGTAAAATGTAATCACTAAAATGCAATCATTTTATCACAGAATTACCAAACACCAAAATTGTTAATGTCATTACAAATATCACAATATTTTATGAAAAGATTCAAACCTTTCTCCCTCCACATTGACCCAGATTCCTTGATATTTTAGCCTAGATTAATTAAACGGAAGTGTGCTGCCACCTATTGGTCACATACAGTACTTACAGTATAAGCTGATACACTATTTACATTTGAAATGTTTGAATGTGTCCATTATAATAATTTCCAATGCATGCAAAAGTGCTGCAGTATAAGATAGAAATAATATTTCACAAAACAACGCCAAACCCAACAAGACCTGGGATTCCCGATGAATTACATTAATCCAGTAATCATCAGTAATAATAAACCTACCTGTTTCCATTTGATGCTTCGCGGCTCAGGGCGTCTAACGGCAGGATGAGAGGCTACTACACCACTGCCCCACCTCAAAAGTTATTCCCCTCTGTTCATCATCATGCCTCCACTCGTTGATACAGGCGCCATGGCATCGAACATGCTGAGCCCGAAGCTCTGTGTGGAGCCAGGACACACGTGCTGTTGTTGGCAAAGGAGGGATGGCTAGTTCTTTCATTGCTGCTGGTTGTTTCTCAGACATTGTGTTTGCAAAACGTCTGAAGCCGAGCTGAACATATGGAGCTTGGCGGAGTGAGGAGGGGGGCTGCGCATTAGAATAAAATTCACACTAAGGAGGGGAGAATAATTCCAGTAATTTTATGTTGCTTATCATGCAAATATAACTTTTAGGTTGCATGTAACTCTATTACACTGTTAGGGTTATCAAACTGCTTCAGGTGCATTACCACCTCCTTCTGGACTGGAAAAGGTCAGATCCTGATTTACAGGTAGCTGAGAGAAACACAAGATGGATTTGTGTTCAGATTTGTGATCTGACCAACAGAGACACATATGTGGAGTGTACCAAGTGTAAATGAAAAAAAACCACAGGTATGATGATTTTTTACAAACGTTTCCTGCTCCTCCTCTCCTCTGCAGGTGCTTTAACCTGCGCAACAGCCTTGCGCACATCCGGAAAAACACAACCCCACGTGTTGGTGTAGCTGACCTCATGGGAAGTTTTAGCTGCGTCAAGCGCAGAGAAACGATTGTCACCGGAATACAAGAGTTGTGCCTTCCAAATAAAATGCACGCATGCTTTGGGATGGTAAGAAAAGTTCACAAAGGTAAAATTGTTACGCATACGACCATAAAAACATCTCAAGTTAGCTACTTTAGACCAAAACAAAGCACTTAATGCAATGGTTTAACAGAAATTAATTATATAGTTTATTTTTTACTAACTTAGTCATTTACAGTCTGACATGACATCACATAAGCATATTTTGTCCTTTGGTCAAATGACTAATGACTAATGCATTTATTAATGTAGGATAGTGGAAATTAGGACAAAATAAAACATTTTACACAAATGTCCCTTGGCATGTTAAAAAATAAATGTGTGTGAGTGCACATAAAGGAAATTTGACAGTAGTTTTACATTGTTCTCACCGGACAACAAGCTGAACAAAGCATTTATATATAGACACAGAAACAAACCATTTATTAAAATACGCTCATGAGCGTCTACACTGCCGGAATCTTACACATTATACATCTCTTACTTATATATTACCTCTTATTTTGAAGGTTGACAGCGGAAGTAGTTTGGTTCAAGTCGGTTCAGCTCACACCGGGTCCGGAGTTTCAGGAGCTAAGCCTAGATCGCAGTGCGGGTCCAGCAGCATCACAAACAGGTATTCATTTTATGAAAGTAATCTTTACCGGGCCCAGGTGTGTTTACGGAACCGGGTGTTCGGGTTTCTGGGCTCGCGGCTGTTGAACTTGCCTCGTGCCCGCTGTCAGCTCTGGTTAGCTCGTTAGCTAACTTAGTTAGCACAATTTATCATTTCTTTTATTTTACTTTGTCCCGTGCTGTTATTTTACTTACCTGTCTGCTTTTTTTCTGACATACGTTAGTTTTGCAAGGAATCAGAGAAAACAAGCTAACGTTACTTTTCATGTCACATTCAGTAAAGTAAGTTATTTCACACTTTATTGACAGTAAGTGAGGAAACGTTCACGTATTTTTAGGGTTTGACGGTGCATTAATTCATTAAATGGATCAGTAAAGATCGCCTCCCTTTAACTTGTAGATATTTCCATGATTTAGTTGTTTGTTATCTTTGGTTAACGATATTTAACATAAGGTTCTGTACATTTTAATATAGCATTAATTAAACCACAGTAGTGCATGATGTCTTGTTATTTCTTGCTACAACAGCGCAGTGGATTAGGGGCCACATCAAGCAGCGTGAACCAATCAAATGTTTTGGTGTCATGTGTTATCTGACAGCCTGCCTTCATGATTTAAAACATGTGCACATTTCAGATGGACGACAAACTATCAGAGGAGGATGGACAGACGTTACAAGTGCCCAAAGAGGAGGAGATGGAGGTCACCGTGTCAACACAACTAGAAAATCTCATCGTCACCTCTGACGAGGCAGACGCAGCATCAAATACACCAACGCAGGCAGAGGGAACGGGAGATGTTCTTACAGCAGCCGCAGCGCTTCCTTTAGACGTTGTGTGTAAGAAAGAGGACTGTGACGACGACGATTCAGAGGATTCAGACAGGTATTTTCTACACGCAACACACAGCGATTTGACAAATAGCATGTTAATGGTGCCCAAACAGGCTGGTTACTGATGTCTTACACCAATAAAAGCTCTAAAAGCAGGAAGCACTGTGCGGATGGGAACAAGTGACTGACTCTGATGCTCTTCCTCTCCTGTCCTCAGTGACAGTTCTTCCTCTTCCTCCTCCTCTTCCTCTTCTTCCTCATCCTCCTCTTCTCCCTCTGCCCTCGTGTTCGGGGATGATGACGACGACGAGGGTTTCAGCCAACCAGCGCCCATCAAAACCAGAGATGAAATTCTGCTCGAGGTCAGTCTGCGAGTGTGTGCGTGAAAAGCCACATGGAGGGGAAAAAGACGCAAGTGATAGACTGTTAATTTGAGTTTGTTACTTTTGCGTTGCCAAAATGCTGGATGGATAAACTAATTGACGAGGAGACAAGCCTGAGTTGTGTTAGGTGAGGGATTCCCTACAAGGTAAACGTAAACATTACCACAGTCGAGCGCTGGCAGGGACCTGGCGGGCTTTAACGGCGGAAATACGGCAGCGGGTGCTGTATTTGGATCGCAAGTGCCCAACACCTGTATCTTTTTCTTGAGTTGAGAGGTGATCCAAATAAAATCTAACTGCTTTTGCGGCGTCTCTACAAGGGAGTCGCTGTGTGAGCCGCTATCTTGGTCTGTTGTTTTGCCTTCCAGGTCAACGCGCATGTCACGTGACTGAAAACTATGGATTGAATTTTTGCTTTAGATTCCGTCTGTGTAAGTGTACCTATGATAAAAATGACAGACCTCTACATGCTTTGTAAGTAGGAAAACCTGCAAATACTTGTTCTCCCCACTGTATTAAATGACAAATACATTTACCTTGAACCTTGGGCGGTCGCACTCTGGACACACTCAGTATATATGAAGAAGGTATTGAGGATTTATAATGGATGAAGCTATATAGTAGGTAAAAGTAAACCCAAACCAGCTCATGCAGGTAATTTAAAAAGGACTCATTTTGTATAAGAATTGTCTCCATAAAGACGACACCTGCTCTTGCTTGGGTCATTGCATCATTGTTTGTTGGGAGTCCCAGTGACTTGCTTTCTGGGAAACACTGGGAACGCCTTCAGCTAAAAGCAGACGCATGTTCAGTCTTCGTGGTTATGGTCTGAACAATTGCCACGCACTGCCGCAGGATGCAGGGGCATCTTACTGGACATCTTTTCGCGCACTTTTTCTGTCGTCTGTTGTAAACCCTACGACCAAATGTAACCTGTCATGATGTTTGTGTGTAGGAGCTGCCAGCGGTGGAGGAGGTGTGTGTCCTTACCAGAAGATGCAGAACTGCAGCCTGTAGGAACAGTCTCCAGTATTATACAGCAACTTGGTAAATATACACACACTCGAGTTAAACTCAAACTTTTACTATGTGACTTCTAAAGAACTGGAAAAGGCAGCTCTTCTCAGTTAGAGAATACAATAAGTGGAGGCTTTTAATGTGTGTTTTGTCGGCTATGTCTTTAACCACTCTCTCTGTCTGTCTGCAGTCATCATCCAGTCTCTGAAAGACACGCCCCCTCTGAATGATGACAGCATCATCTTTAGATCTGATAGGCTGGCTCTGGGCAAGGTGGGCCTCCTCTGTCTACTCTTGTTTAGTGCGTGAAAAGTGTTTTATGTGATCTGTTTTGAGTCGTGCTTCTTTCCACGTGATAATGAATGATCTGTTGGTTGTGTTTCAGGTGTTTGAGGTGTTTGGTCCAGTGTCCAGTCCGCTCTATATTTTGCGTTTTAACTCTGTGGACCAGATAAGCAGCAAGGGGCTGACAGAGGGAGTGACAGTTTATTATGCACCAGCCATTAAAGAGTACACAGGATACATTCTCACGCAACAACTCAAACTGTAAGTACATACACACAAGTTTATATAGAGCACAGTAAAGTTAGACAAATATACTGATTGGTTAGTGGTAGCCAGGCAGTGGCAGTATTTGTGCTACACGTATTTCAAATACAACATAGGATTTTGTTATTTTTGATGGGGTTGATGAAAATGGCTTCATATTTTGTATAAATACTAAAGTGTTTTTGTATTTTGTAGTTTTAAAAATACGGTAAAATAATTTGTGAGAAGTTTTTAAGTGATGACTTCATTCAAATGCTGCGTCTGATTGGTGCCTACTCAGTAATTTGCCCAGACGGGTTGAGATCAGGACAGAAAACTGATCCAGACCAAAGAAGGTCAAGGTGAGAAATGTGTAGCTCACCAGCTTTTTATATTTTTTAGCATAAATTGCTACAATTGTTCACATTTCCTGATTTGGTGGCCAAGACTAAACCATTTACTAATTTACGTAATGTCCTAGCTAACTATTTGACCTGAGGAGCGGCTCTCACAGTCAACGTTAGCACGTTACTTTCAGCCTGTTTACGTTTTCATCGGTTGTGCTAGAAAAAACAATAAAGCATTTCAGAGAAGTTGTACAACGTTACAACGGCATGGAAGTCTTATTTTCATTAACAACGTTGTGCTGCAACACCATTAAACAGCAGGTTGTCAACCCGTCCACCACTCGTGTTGGTTGTAGCTCAGATGACGCAGAGTAGGCTCTTCATTACCAAACACCAAGTAACTAAAGTAGGTTAAAATTAGGAGTCATTAGCAAACATTAAACTGTTGGTTACTTTAATAACAACCTTCCTCTGGGTCATCTCAGTATGATGGGAATATATCCGTTAACTGGTTGCCTGTCAGATTTATGGCATGACTCATTAGGCAGAGAAAATCTGTTGATCTCAAACATTGTCCACTTAATCAGCTGCGTCAGCGTACTGGTGAAATGATAGATCAAATAGACCGATAACATCCTTCCACAGCAGCCACACTGGCACGGCTGCCTGCAGGTGAATGTTTGTGTTTATCGGGCGATTGTTTCACCAGATGTTGCAATTGCAAGTCTACGGCCGATTAATTGGTCTGTCACTGCTCTGTCACTATTATTTATTTTATTTGTTAAGCAGTAGTCATATTCACCAAACCTAACTAGTATGTCACAGTGAATGCCGTGCCCAAGACGTTTGAGTTCTTTTAGCATAGTGGTGGTTTTGTTTGAACAACCTGTCTGTACAGTGACTGGAGTTGTCATACGACCCAGAAGCAGCCATTTGTGCTCAAGCAGACCAAGGAGCTTATCTGCTGCCATCCTTTCCTCTAAGCTTGTGAAAGCATCGTCTGTTCAGCAAGTTTCTGCGTGATGTAACCTTAAAAAATTAATGAATTTGGTGAGAATTTGTGAGAAGGATGCTTCCTGCAAAGCTCGTAAGATGCTGTAATTGAAGAGATGTGTGCTTTCCCGGTGTTAGAAGATGGAAGCTAAAATAGATTTTTACTTTTGATTGATGAATGCATGTACAACATCATCTTATGAAGCTAAGATGATTCCTGTCTCTTGTGCATATATTGGCTTGCTGTTAAATTGTGTTGCTATATAATGAGAACAGTACAGTGATAATTGTCCTTGTCCTTCAGTTTAAAGGGATCTGATGCATCCTGGAAGAACGACCAAGAACCACCAGTGGAGGTGAGCACATACACAGAAATGTTTATTTCATTATACAGTGGTGTTTAAAGTTGGTGCCTCCTGGTAACCCTTTCAGTAGTTCATGTTATGGTTCGTGTTTATACAAACTGCTTTCTGCGTGTTTTATATCTCAGCTAAAGATAAAAACAAGTAAATGTGAAGTAAGTGATGGTTGTAGCTGAAAATATTTAGCACTCAACTCATTTTGTAAACTTTTCCAACAGTTTCCACTGTGCTCAAAAAGACTGGTGTGATTTCTTTATTGTTATGAGGGAGCCGCACTCATTCTCTCTGTCCAATCCCAGGCTTTAGATTATAGTGATGACGAGAAAGAGCAGCAAGCTAAGAGGAAAGTGAAAAACTCCAAAAAGAAGAGGGACAATAACGGCACAGGTATGTGCACACGCGAACAGGAAATATATTCTGAATGAAAAGAATCCTTGACGTGTTTGGATGTTTGTTGAAGTCGTTACCATCTGACAGAAGTCTAAATTTGGATGTCATGAACGTTCTAGTAGAATATGACAGACATGTCTTACCTTTTATTCCTACTTTCCTTCATCTGTTTTTCCCCTCCAGATAATCCCGCCCACATTACCCAGAACACCTTGCCGCCGCAGCAGGAGCGTGACGTCAGGAATTTCCCACCAAGACAAGCAGGGGCTCCATTCAGGCACCAGAGCCCGAGGAATAAACCCCCAATGTTCAGACACACACACACTCCACCCAGACACGCACCCCCACCACCTAGACACACCTATGTCCCTCCCATGTACCTCCCCCCGTGCCCTTACCCCAGCACTTCAACCTTTTCCCCCACCCAACTTTCCGCTCTACCCGCCTCCTCCACCTTCTTTCTTTAACCCGTCTTCTCTTCTCTTTCCTTCTGGCCACCAAACTCTATCCCCTTCTCTGACCTCCCTCCTCCCCCACCACCTCCTCCTCCACCTCCTCCTCCACCTCAGTGATGCCCCCGCACCCCTGCACATGTACACTCACCAGAGAGTTCCTGCTGGTGAGTCGATGTTTGGTTTTGTTAGAAGAATATATCATCTGTTTGTAGACTGTCATCAATCATGTGTATACATTTATCAATCAATCAATTATTAGGATAAACCATCATTGGTCGTGATGGAGCCACGTGATGTGCTGTGACTAACCACATACTGCAGTCTCCTTTATTTTTAAATATATTTGTTTTCCTACAGCTACATGCATTTGATAAATCTTCAGGTGATGAAAATGGTATTGATATTTGTCATATTTTAAGTAAATGTGACTGTTTTTTAGACACAGCTGTCAAATGCCACACACATGGACTGAAACACCGGAGAAGTAACGGGCTGCCATTCGTTGTGAAGTGAACCTTGAACCGCTCAAGACCCAAGAGGCACTCAACGGCACAACGTAATGCAAGCCAGTCACGCTGGTTTTGCTTTTCTCATTTCGGTTTGGTGTCGTCATTTGACAGCTAAGTTGACCGACAGGATATTTATGGAAAGCGTGATGAATTGTTTTACCTTTTTATGTTTTTGGTAAAACTCCACTTGATGGCAGAATTGTGTGCATTCTAAGCACAGTATGAGAGTAAATCTAATTAAATCCACTTGTTGTGCATCACAGTGGACTTAGTTCTTCTGGCCAAATATATGTGAGAGACTCGTATATACACAACGGACATTTGGCTTATTATTGATTATGTGAGAAATAAAATGTCAATAGTTGGCACTGAATTTTATTTTTGTATTTATAACAATATTTTGTGTAGACTTATTGTCTATACACAAAATAGTTATATGGAAAACATACTACTATATTCAGAGTTCTACACTCAGGCTTCATTCCTTCAAATGTATCCCAGTGTGTTCTGGTCCTGTCTTACCTCTAAGTTCCTGTTGCCTTCATACAGTTATGTCTGCAAAGAATGGAAGAGCAATATGATGATTTTAAGGTTTGAAAAAAAAGATTATGGAAAACTTATGTTTTCCATAATAATGGATCTGTTCAGTCAAGATTCAGATACACCTACATGTTGTAGACCTTTAAAGACTTCATGTGCTCTGGCATTTGTTTAAAATAATGAATTGGTGTAAAAGTGATGGGATTCTTGGACTGAAGGCTGATTCCCACACAAATACTTGTTGTTTTTTGTTTTTTTACTGGCTAGAAATGAGCTCTGACAAGTCATTGTCACTCATGATAGTGTATTTGTACCTGAATGCTTTGTAAATGTCAACGCCATTTGAATCTGCGTCACTGGAGAATAAATGTTTTTGTTGTAGAACAACGTTACACTGGTTATGTAAAGCCGCTGTTGTGTGTTCACTCTTTTCCACAACGGGAAATTTCTACACTCTACAGGTGTGACTGGAATCTGGCACAAGACAAATCGTTGATTAAATGAGTGAATATTTTACTTGATTTGCTTTTTTTTAATCCTGTCTCACCTGAGACGATACATCTCCATCTTCAATCTAAATGCAGAAACAAGAGGCTAGGACTGATTACCAGTCAGGAAACCTAAAATTACATTATTTGATTTGCTTATCAGAACATCATTCACATTTTAAAACAGATTTATTTGGTAAATTCCAGGTTGATGCTTGGCGTCATTTGACTTTGAATTTTGCAAGCATAAAAGAAAATGAAATTTGACTGATTTTAGTTTAATATAGTCAGCCCTAAACATAAAATGTAATTTCATCTAGAAAAGTCTGTGTAACATAAATCATAAAACCACCAGTCCTGGATTCTTAAATTTGACTGTAACAATGATAAACATGTTTAATTTTAGAGCAATGATCGTTCAGCACGCCTTAACAAAGTGACATGTTAATGGATTAAATTTATCAATTAATACAATGTGAGTTAACAGAAAATCTAAAATCAATATTTGGTGGGAACACACTTTGCCTTCAAAAGAGCATCTATTATTCAAGGTACACTTGATACAGGTACTCTACATTCAAGTCAGGGATTTTGTCGGCAAATCATCAGGTGTGATTAAACAATTATAACAGATGTGCTAATGATCATAAATTCAGTATATAGGGTGAAACACAATCACTAACTGAAACGGCTGTGTAGTAAGAATACAACAGGGTGAGGAACAGCCAAACTCAGCTAACAAGGTGTGTCATACACCATGGCAAGACTGACTTTTCCAGATGTCCAAGTTCTTTTGAAGAAGCACAAAGAAATGGGCAACTTTGAGGACCGTAGACGCAGGCCATACCTCTGACTTGGAAATCACAGATCAACTACGCACAGAAACACAGGAACTGGGGTGCAGAAAAATGACAGAATTTTTAATATTTGGATGCAACTGCACGCAGGTTGTTTGCTGGAGAGCGGTACAAGAATGAGTGTCTGCAGGCAACAGTGAGGCATGGTGAAGTTTGGGGCTCCATTTCTGCATAGGGAGTTGGGGATTTGGTCAGAATTAATGGTTTCCTCGATGCTGAAATGCTCAGAGAGATACTTATTCATCATGCAATACCATCAGGGAGGCATCTGATTGGCCCTAAATTTGTTCTGCAGCATGACAACGACCCCAAACATACAGCGAAAGTCATTCAGAACTATCTTCAGTGTAAAACAAGGAGCCCTGGAAGTGATGGCATGGCCTCCTCAGATCTCAGTCTCCAAGATGTTTGGGCCAAACTACCTGCCGAGTTCCTTCAAAAACTATGTCCATTTCTACCTAGAAGAACTGATGCTGGCAAAGGGAGGTCACACCAAATACTGACTTGATTTAGATTTTTCTTCTGTTCATTCATGTTGTATTTCATTGTTGTGAGTCTGATATAAACTTAGAAGTAGGTGAGTATCACACAATGAGCCTTGGCATGACCACTTTTGATAAGTACTGACCACTGCAGACTGGGAACAACCACAAGTGCTGCAGTTTTGAAAAGATGCTCTGACCCAGCTGTCTAGCCATTACAATTTGGCCGCTGTTGCTCAAATCCATATGCTGATGATACACGAGCAACTTTAGAGCTATGTTGTTGGGCAATGTTTCCTTGAATGGTAATGAGTAAAGATTATTACTGTAATCCCACCGCCGCCTCCCCAACGCCGCCTCCCCGCCACTATCCGTTCAAAACATAGTCAGACTTGCTACCAGCAACATTCCCCAGCAACATTGCAAAAGTTTTATTATCAGCTTTATGCTCCTGCTTCTAACACATCAACTTTAAGAACAAAATAAAAAACTTTATGTGTTCACCTCACACACATTCACACACAGACTGAACACACTCGTGGACACAGATGGA